ACTACTATATATATATATATATATATATATATATATATATATATATATGGTAACTTGTGAGAACAGTCTAATCCCAATTTATGCATTGGTATGTTGGGAAATACGACTGGAACAGTTCCCATCCATAATTCCTCTCCTTTGCTCTTTATTCCATGGAACAACAAGCTTTTGGGCCTGACTCTGCCTCCATTTTGTTGTGGGCAGCCAGCAACCTCCTGGCTCAAATGGGAGAAAGCTGCTTCTGGACCACAGGCATAAAGGGGGTTATCTGACACTGACCCACAATGAACTCAAGTTTGGTGAGTTGCAGACTTTTCATGGGTGAAATTTCCAGAAAGCCGACTGTGCTGACACCCAGCAACTGCACTATAACATCCTAGTGGAGCATTCATGGTGTATGCTGATTTTGCAAAATTAGTCTTAGCTTTCATGGAAAGACTGTTAGTCACATCAAGTACTGAAGTATATGTACTAATGGTGCCACCCAGAGGTACTTGAGTGTAGCACACAGGTCTGTGTGCAAAAGATATATCTGTGTGCAATTATGGAATCCAGGCATAATGTCACAGCATCAGGTTTTAATCTGTATTAGGAATTGGTCTTTAAATCAACCACAGAATAATTTTACTCTTCTTTTATTTTTCAAATTTCTTGCCTATTAATTTTCATTCAATATTTGGTTTTTGTGATAATTCCTATTGTGTTCTTATTTATTTTCCATATATATTAAAATAGTAGTTCTTAATAAATCAGTGTCTAGTCTCTATTTGTATACAAGACATATTGTTTGATTTTATTGGTGGTTGCTACATACAGCAATTGGAATAGCACCAGGGATTCAGTTCACAATGGGATGCCACTATTTTTATACCCATATAGTGGTATATGATTTTGGATAGCAGCAAACACACATTTTGATGTGAAATTTAAATAAGGACAGAGGGAAAAATTCTCTTCTCTTCGGAACAATTGATCATTCTCCTGCAGCTAGAATTTGTGTGGATCATAGTTCATAGAAGCAAGTATCTTTCTGACAGAAAAAACAACATCCCACTCTTAGGGTACGTCTTCACTACCCGCCGTATCGGCGGGTAGCAATCGATTTATCCGGGATCGATATATCACGTCTCGTTAAGACGCGATATATCGATCCCCGAACACGCTCACCGTCGACTCCGGAACTCCACCAGAGCGAGCGGCGGTAGCGCAGTTGATGGGGGAGCCGCGGCCGTCGATCCCGCGCCGTCTGGACCCAGGTAATTCGATCCAAGATACTTCAACTTCAGCTACGCTATTCGCGTAGCTGAAGTTGCGTATCTTGGATCAATCCCACCCCACCCCACCCAGTATAGACCAGCCCTTATTTTCAGCTGTCCAAAAAGCTGTATTCCAGGGTCCCCCGTGGGGTGCTGAGCACCCTTGAAGTTCTCAACACTTTTCAATCCTAATATATTTCTCTTTTCAGGAAACAAACCCCTAAACGGATTGTGTGACATTAAGATGTAGATTTTCAAAGAGGGGCATGCTGATCTCCATCAATATCAATGAGAGACGAGCTGTTAAGAACAAGTCCCTTTGAAAAACTCCCCTATGGAAATTAATGGGATCAATAACCCTAATAATAAAAAACAAAAAAAATGTTTAATACAGAGATTTATTGAAATGGCTAGATAATTGATTTTGAGATTTTATTTACTAACGTTTAAAAATGTGAGTATAAAAATACACTGTACCTTCTTCTAGCTACAGATACCTTAAAATTACTCATTTCTCACAAACTGTCATAAGAATTGGAAGAACACGTACTATTTTAGCTTCAAAGGTCTGTGTCTGTGTCTTTGCTAATCCAAACCAAGTGGAGACTGAGGGACATGCTCCCTTGAAAACTAACTTCATAGGGGTCCTAGCTCATTTGTCCATCCTGCTTACTTATCTCTGGAAGAAAGAACATTCTCAAGATCCCTCCACTAACAATCACCCATTTTACTGCATCAGCATTTCCAAGTCGAGTGTACTTTTGGATATGTAACAGACTCCTTGGATCATCCAGAGAGGGAAAGGTAGCCTAGCCCAGATACACAGGTGGACCTTGAAGAAGAAGATACAGTCAGGGTCCATAAAATTGAGTTTGATCCATTTGTAAAAGCCCGCCCTCATCGACCAGTGGGCAAATAGGGTGCTCAATGAGAGAATATCCACCATATCCCAAATGTCTCAGTAATGCATGTGGTATAAATGCCTAGAGATATGGATACACATATGGAGGTGCCCTGTGATTGCAGAGGGCATGCATCCAACAGATAGCACCTTAGATGGGGTAGACTTGAAATATCCAGAAACTTGCCAAAAAAATACAAAAGAGCTAATATTACGTCGGATTTTGTGATCTTGGCCTCAGTGAAAGTTGAGGGCTCTCAGCATCTTGCACAAGGAACTCAGCAGCTAGTAGGATTGGCCTCTTAAATTTTGCACTCTGATTACTCGTTGTGGTGGAATTCAGCCAAGCAGATAGGGGGGTCCTTGTCTTTAGTAACAATGGTGCAATTTGAGAATGTCAAAAACAAGTATAGAGTAATTCCCACAGCCCATCAAACATTTTCACTTACAGCAATAAAACATAAGGCAGACTTTATCAAAGAAATGAGGGCTATTGTGTGTATCGCAGATGACTCATTTGTTCACACACAAACAAGTTTTATCAGTAATCTGTGTGCTAGAAAGGAATTTTTTTTTTAAATAATCAATTACTGTGGGTCTGATCTCCAGGTCCCAGCTTCCACTTGTGCACACACAATTTTGTCCAAAGGGTTTTTTGCTTGTGGAAATTCTAAACCCTGCCAGAATCTAACAATAGTGTAGGCAGAGGTTTGTGCTGAAAAAGTGGTTGCACAGGCTGATGGCAAAATTGTACAACCATCAGAGGAGACCTGGTAGAGGCCTCCCTGAAAATCAGGTCTGGCATGCTCATTTTGCGGCACTATTCTGAAACAGCATTGGGTGCAATGCCGTAATTCCTCCTTCCCTCTTAAATCAAGGTGTCATAAGAAAACTGGAGCAATCTGTACCTGAGGACAAACGTAAATACAGCAAATCATACTCTGCCGTTATATTCCCTCTTTCCGTGATTAGTCATGTGGAGTGTAAGGTGTATAATGTGCACTGACCTGTACTTCCCTGTCCGTACTTGTAGAGCTCTCATACCGCACTGCTGGGCACCTCCTACATCATTCACAATATCATCTCCAATCATGATGGCCTGTCACAGCAATGAAATACAGACAAAACTGGTGTCAAGTGAATTTTATTTCTGCCATACTTCATCTCTCTTGACATAATAAACTGCTTGATTTGATGTTTAATACTGCCATCATACAAATTAAACAAGATAATATTGTCATCATATTGATTAAAAGTCATCCTACATTGAATATAATTCACACGGCACCTTTGCTGGCTATACAGTTGAACAGTATCCATCCACACAATTTGAAATCAAATCAGAAGAGTCAAAAATGATTAGGCACAGTACAAAAACAATGTAGAAATTCATAAAGTTAATCCTACATTCCTACCAAACATGTTTTTGTGTTATGGAAATGGCAGTTAAGATAATATTAAGTTTTAAACATTTCCTTAGAAGTTATACTATAAAGGCTGATCAAACTGTTTGCAAATCTATGAAAAATAACTTGGGAACATTTATTATCAAATCACATTATGGGAAATATGGAAATTTAGAAAGACATGCATCCTAATGCAATCCAATGTCATGTTATTCAAAAATATATAGCATTTTCCCTACGTGTGTAGCAATGATCGCATCATAATCAGTTACTGTCTATGTAAATGAAATACACCTCTACCCCGATATAACACGACCCGATATAACACGAATTCGGATATAATGCGGTAAAGCAGTGCTCTGGGGGGGGGGGGCTGCGCACTCCGGTGGATCAAAGCAAGTTCGATATAATGCGGTTTCACCTATAACGCAGTAAGATTTTTTGGCTCCCGAGGACAGCGTTATATTGGGGTAGAGGTGTATAAGCAAACTAGAGTATGTTGGTTACAAAGCAAAATTTAACTGAGAAAAGTCTCTGTGCTCTGTTTAGAAGATGTGTGTCTAAGTGCTCACCTATAAGCTTAATGAAAATATGTACTGTGCATGCTCAATACACACAGTTTTCACATGGTGATATCTTTGTTAAATCAAAATCCATTTGTTTCAAACTAAACTGGGCACTAGAGTCGTAAGTGACACATTTCAAGTCTTTGCTGTCACCCTGCCTTCCCCTCCCTTGGATTTAAAAATGGCTGACTGCTTTATCTCAAACTTCCCCCTCACCCCAAAAAGAAAAAAATAATATCTGAGCAACCACAAAAAAGTTCAGCCCCAAATTATGACTCAGCATTCTTTCATTACCCAAATCTCTCAGTGAATTCTGGATTACACCCAAGATAAACAAAGGCAGTTTACATTATAGGGCTACCAAGTGCATTATAGGGTAGACTAGGAAAATAGGTCTTGTTCAAAAACATGTCAAACAACATGTTTTAGCTACCAGTTTTCAAACGTGACTGTGCACCTACTTTAGACAGAGCCAGTTGTGTTTGAAAATGTATTAACTAGTTACATGACCAAGCTATTTTAGCTGCAAGTTTGCTACATTAGCTGCTTAACTTGCAACCTTACCTAAAGTGCTACCAGGCTTCCACAATAATTATACCGCACCACCTCAGTGTTAGGAAGAGTACTCATTTAGGCAAAAAAAAATGTACTTCTCTTCCACATAAACTTGCTATCTCAATTATTCTAACATTGGCACAATAGAAATATAGACTTGTTACACTGGGGTTACACAAAGTATTTATTTTTATACTATATAAACTGGTCTCACATTTTAAACGCTCTGCCCTACATTTTTTCTTGTGTCCCTCATTACAGGTCTGTGTTCCACATACGGGCCTTTGTAGGTTAAAAGGCACATTTATAACTGGACCAGAATTGCCTTAGATGGCAATGGTGTTGCCAAGAATAGCATCAAGGGGACTCCACTGAGCATGCATAGAAAGCCAGCCTAGCATTTTTCCATCTGACTTGGGCTGATAAATAGGCCCTTGTGAGAGAGGTCATGGGAATGAGTCACGTACACCACAAATGGGGATTGGCTTCTCTAGTAACCATATTCTAGGGGGAATTCTGACTTGTTTTTGTGAGTTTGTGTGTGTGGTGCGCAACAGCTTTATGAAAATAATATACAGAATCTTTCTATTTTAGGCATCATTCCAGTTACCACTTCTAGCTAATATTAAAACCTCTTCTTTCCTAGCCTGTTCCTTGAAACACATCTTTTTAATATACAGTGCAGCCACATAGCAGCATGGGCATCAAGTGTACCCATAATGAGGGCCAAATTTAAGAGCCTCTTCACTATACAGTCACGCTGTTATCACAGCCCTCCCTGCTGCTGTTTATATAGAGCACAAATGAAGACTCTCAAACTGAAGTTACAGAAAATTTGGTTGCCATAGTGCGTTGGGTCTGATGCTGGGGAGGGAATGAACCATTTCCATAGATTCACAGAATTTAAGGACAGAAGCAATGACATGATCTGGCCCTCCATCCATACTTTATATCTATTAAAATTTTCAATTTCTAGCATTCATGGTGCTATTCCGTGTCTGCTCCATTGTTTCAAAGAGATTAAGGCCAGATGGGGCCACCAGATCAACTAACCTAATCTCTTATATGTACACCCCACACCATTAAGTTTCACCAACTTACTCCTGCATTGAGCCCAGTAACTTATGTTTGACTAAAGCATGTCTTCTAGAAAGACAACCAGTTTTAAGAGATGAAGAATCCACCCTTTCCCTTGGTAGTTTGTTCCAATGGTTTAATCACTTTCACTACAAGTGACAGTTAAAAGTTTGTGCCTGATTTCTAATTTGAATTTGTCTGGCTTCAGCTTCCAGTGATTGGCTCTTGTGATGCCTTTCTTGGCTAGGTGAGCCCTCTAGTACCCGGTGTTTTCTGCCCATGAAGATACTTGTATACTGTGATTAAGGCACCTCTCAATCAGCTTTTTGATAAGCTAAACAGATCAAGCTTTTTAAGTCTCTCACTGTACGGGCATTTTGTCCAGCCCTCACACCATTTTTGTGGCTATTTTCTGCAGCCTCTCCACTTTCTCAACATCAGGGAGCACTGGGGACTGGAGTGAGGAAGGAGGCAGCGCCTCCCTTGATATTTCAACGTGAAGCAAAGGGGGATTCCTCCCTGAAGTGCCAGCTGGGGAAATAGCAAGGCAGCCAAATAGCCACCTTCTTCCTGATCTAGCACCGGAGCTCCACAATGCTATCAGCTGACAATGGGGCCATTAACCCTCACACACACACACACACACACAGTTCCACGGCATTGGGAAAGGAGGCAGTAGAGCCTCTTGCTTTCCCGCCAGTCATCTCTCACCCACAAGCATCGGCTTCAGTAGCTTCTAAATTAGCCCCCTCATCAACAAACTTCTCTCCCTCCCTTCAGGCAGCTCTCCATGGCTATTGGTGCCTCCCTGACCCCTGAATGGGAAAGAGAAAGGGGGTAGAATCTATGGAGAGTCAGTGGAAGCTGCAGGGAGATAATATGTATGAGTTTCTTGTCTCCTACATGGCAGCAGGACTCTATTGCCGGCATGACCATCCTCGGATTCAGTGCAGAGCTGCCTTCCACAAGAGCAGGGGCATATGTGGCCTTGGTTTGGGGGACTGTAAGGGCATGTCTACACTGCAATTAGACATCCGTGGCTGGCTCATGCCGGCTGACTCGGGCTAAGGGACTGTTTAATTGCAGTATAGACATTCAGAGTTGCACTGCAGCCCTAGCCCTGGGGCCCTCCCACCTCACAGGGTCCTTGACCTAGGGCCTGGATTCCCGCCCAAGCCTGAACTTCTACATTGCAATCAATACCGGGGGGAGAGTGGCGGGGAGGCAAATAGCTGTGCATATCTCTCTATCACTGTTATAGAGTGTGAACAATTTGTGAGTTTATCCTGCATAAGCTTTATACAGGGTCAAATGGATTTATTTGGTGTTTGGACCCCATTGGGAGCTGGGCATCTGAGTATTGGAGACAGGAACACTTCTTAAGCTGTTTTCAGTTAAGCCTGCAACTTTTGGGGGACGTTGTTCAGACCTGGGTCTGTGTTTGTAGCAGGCTAGCATCTCTGGCTCAAACCATGCAGGGCACTGAAGTCCCAAGCTGCCTGGGAAAATGGGCTCAGAGGTAGTCTCAGCACATCAGCTGGCAGTCCCAAGGGGGTTTCTGAGGGATCTGAGCACTTGTGAGTAGCTGAGAAGGTTGCTCACCAGTGGTGTATTATATTCTACATAGGCAAGTTTTCATGCAAGAAGACAGTCAGCTCAGAAAGTGCAGCTGCACATGAGCACTGATGCCTATCCAGGCCAGCTTGTGGCATACGCATACAAAAATGTACTCCAACCTCGGGGGATTTCATAGATTTACTATCGGTGAAGGGCAATAATCACTAAAGGAGGAGCAATTATTCCCAAATCATTTAGGATTTTAAAAAATCATTGGCAAGAAGATAGAGGTCAAGAGGTGCACTGTCAAGGGAAATAAAAAAATTACTACCTGTCAAACCTAGGTTTAACTTCCTCTCTGACTGCAATATGGAGCGAGAGAGAGAGAACGAACTGAAAGGTCACACACCCACTGAAAGCAAGAATTAAAAGATCCCCATTTATGATCACATTTTAGAGAGGGAACACAGGTGATTAGTCTGTTCAGTGAGCATGTGGAAGTTATTTCTTTTTAAAATTAAACTAAAAGTTTACCAAAAAAGACAAAATGTACTAAGCCTGTCAGAAAACCATGACCGTATTAACCTGATACATCAAAAATTGGAAGGAGTTGTAATATATATTTTCTACATCCTATAAAATGCAAGCAATGAAAGAGGGTTCATATATATTTGGTGAAAGAATGCATATTTTCTAAAAATTACACTTTAAGGGGGTGATGCATGGCTCAGGGAGATTGGTCATTATATATTTTTAAAATAGCCCTTTACCTCTAGGATGCTGGTTCAAATCCAATCTCAATCAGTAGTGATGAGAAAACAGTGCTCAATGACATCTGGCAGCCACAAAGTAATCCCTAGTGGACATATGGCCATATCACAGATATCACCACTACAACTGGCAATCTTATTGGCAGTCTGAACACATGTGGACTGAAC